CTCTCTGGTCCAACACTCTACCCATTGCCCTATTGGAGGCTTGTTGTAAAATGTGCTGCACATTACATAACAACACGGTGACGGCTCTTTATAGTGAAGAGGTAAAGTTCTTCTTTTTTACTTTGCGATGTCATTTATGAATGGACACTTCCTGGTATGTGTGGCAGGAAACATAGCCTTATATGGTGTTTTTACGCTGATAATTATGCTAATCTCCTCTCCTCGTGCTCAAGCATCTGATAGGCATTCATCAGTTTACGCAGCTCATTAACACACTTTTCCTGAAGATAGAAGAGTTTGTTGAATCTGACGTGACATGTTCGTACGAACCCTTTGTACGAACAAAAGTAAGAGAAATTTAGGATAAGAATAAGAATTCTTGCATGAGRCCCATTGTTTACCTCGAGTAGAACCAAAGAAAACTATATTTCCGGTGAAAATGCAGCATTAATGCTCAACGCTAAAAGATTTTTGCTGAAAGCTGCTGAAGAAGCTGAAATTTGAACAGATGTTTTTTTGCTGAACGTTGGACAACATAAGTGAAAAATCAGTAAAAAAGATGGCAAAAAATTTAAAAAAAATCTGACGAGCAAAAATGTAGCTAAAATTAGCAAAGAGAAGCTAAACGTTAGATGAGGAAATGCATGCAGATTTTCAAATCAGCAAAAAAACAAGAAAACAAGTTTTTTCAGTTGCCTCGAAATGGCTAAAAAAAACAAAAATAATCTAAAAATTGCTTGAAAAGTAGCTGAAATATCTAAAATTAGTACAAACAGCAAAGAGCACGTTTGCCGAATTAAGCAGTAAGAAGCTGAAATTGTCACAAAAAGTTAGCTGAAAAAAATCTCTAATGAGCTGAAATGTGTTCACAAAGTAGCTAAAAACATAGAAAACATTTTTAAAAAATTAGCAGAAAAAAGCTGAAAGAAGCATAAAAAGTCTACATTAGCAGTAGAGTATCAAAAAATGTCAGAACTGTAGCTGAAAAGGCTGTAAAATGTTGCTGAAACTATTAGTTTTATTTTAAAACAATTTCACTTATCGAGCTTTTTAAGATGCATCGTCTCAAAAGAAGTTTCTAAATCTCAATAAATTTATCTCCAGATGGTTTTAACAAGAAATTAGATGAATATATTTGGTAATATTTGACGTTTTTGCAGTGACCTGACACCTCACAACATCGCACAAGATCCTGCATCATGYTTTCAAGGGTTGACTTCTGTATTTGTAGAAGTTTATTTTATTTGTTTGTATATTTGAGTTATTTTCTAAGAACRTTGATTCTGATAAAGTCCTTGCAGTTATTTATTAGTGCAGTCTGTGTGGCACAGGTCAGGATAAACTATGACTTTAATCTCCCTCACGTCTCTTTTCACCTAATTATCGTCGTCTTTTCTCTCTTATCTTTCTGCCTCTTTGCTCCTCTTCTTCCTCCTGTAAGCGCCGTATCGTCTGTTAGCGAGCAGATAAAGCCTCTGAGACTGCGGCGCCGGCAGCGAGCTATCGACCTCGGCATCATGAGCCCAGTAATTGGTGCATCGTGCGACGGGCCGGTGACAGCGTGACGGAGTGCCTCCATCACGTAACCGGCTCTTAAATTAACCGTCACCGCTGACCGATTGGAAGATCTGCACTTTACACACGGTCCTCTCAAAATTGTTCACTTCTACTTTAATCCCTTCTAGGATTTGTACTCTGTGTAGCATGTCCTCAGAGTACTGGAAGGATCTGAGGTTAATTAAAACAGAAAACAGGTGTGGAAATAGATATTAGGAAGTGTTTTATTACAGATGTGGCTCAGAGGTTCCCAAACCTTCACTAATTTGTTAAACTTTAAGATGTTAAGAAAGGAGTTTGGTGTAGAGATGCAAGTTATCGATTAATGAATTAATGTAAAGTTGATCTTATCAATTAACTAACGATTAATTGATAAGCAACCATTTTCTTAAAAACCTGAGTTTTCTCTTGTATCAAAAGGATCTTTCCATAGCGTTAAGGTTTAATCTTTTATAATCTGCTGACTTAAAAAAATGAAGCAGATCAATATTGTAACAATTAATTTTTCCAGCTGTTTTAAAAACTGACTGAATAAACAAAAACAGATAGTCGAACCTCGGATTCAGGAAGAGCAGTGTGGTTTTGGTCCTGGTCGTGGAACACTGGACCAGCTCTACAC